ACTCTGGATAATAAGCATATATCACCAGGGTAGGTTTAAAGAGAGAACAAACTGTTTTTGAATACACAAAGGGGGGTTGAATTTTCGTATGGCTAAGGCTTCAACAAACCTTAGTATACGCCCTTTTACACTTTTAAACAACACCACAAAAGCCGAGTTTAGATCAATCTTATGACCTGTTTCGATTATATGTTTAGCAATAGAGGATGATGGATGTTTATCCTCTACTCTTATTGGGTCATTCGACTGTATTTGTTTTCGCAACCATTTTGGTACATGTTCACCCACCCTTATTTTCAGATCACGATTGCTCCTCCCTATGTATGTGTGACCACACACACATTTAAATTGGTAAACACAGTGGGATGTGACACAATCGTTTTCATTTCGTCTAGGTTTTGAATGAAGCATGGACCTCGTTCTTTCCTTGATTATGACTTTCGCAGCACAATACGTTTTGTTGATAACAGATTTAAGCCTTTGTTTCAATAAAAGGCTATTTGAATCACCTTTAAATGGTAAGGTGATGTAATGTTGGACCTAAGCAGAAAAGCATATTAACTGACAGAGATACGATTACCATATTTTCCTCAGTCGCTGAATGATCAATAATGTGTTGTGATAAGGCATCTGTTTGACCAAATTGTTGGGTGCGTCGGTATTGGATTTCGAAATCGTAGCCCAAGAGTGCCAAGATCCATCACTGAAGACGATTTGTCGAGTGGGCTGGTATGCCAGACTTCGACCCGAAAATTGCGAGAATAGGCTTGTGATCCGTAAGAAGTGTGAATCTCTGACCGTACAAGAATTTGTGGAACCGGCGCACAGCAAACACCAGTGCGATAGCCTCCTTCTCTATCTGGCTGTACTTCTTTTCTGCTGGGGTTAATGTTTGCGATGCATGCATGATGGCTTTCTCTGTCGCGTCGGGGAACTGTTGTGAAATGACAGCACCGAGCCCAAAGGCTGAAGCGTCTGAGGCCACGATGATTGGCAAGGACGGGTCGTAGTGCGTTAATAGTGGTTCTGAGCTAATAATTGTCTTCAGCTTAGAAAAGGCGTTTTCACACTCCTTTGTCCAGTTCCAGCTGATATCCTTATTCAGAAGATGATTCAGTGGGGCGCGTATGTCATGCATCGATGGAACGAAGGCTGAGTAATTACTAACCAATCCCAGGAATGATTGTAGAGCAGAGATATTGGTAGGAGTGGGCATGGATTTTATAGCTCGGATGTTCTCGGTATCTGGTCTGCGACCTGCAGCATCGAAGATGAAACTTAAATACTTCACGGACTTCAAGAAAATCTGGCATTTTTCCGGGCGTAGCCGGAACCCGTTGTCGCTGACACGTTGTAGTACGGCTGTTGTGTGTTCTCCTAGCTGTTCCGACGTTGTGGCAACAATGAGGATGCTATTCAGATAAGTTGCGACCCCCGGGATACCCGATAGAATGGTATCCATTAGCTGCTGGAAAATAAATGGGGCGGACTTAACTCCAAACGGCAGTCGATTATACTGGAACAGGCCACGATGTGTATTAATGGTGAGTAGCTCTTTCGATTCTTCAGCCACTTCTACTTGTAGATAGGCATCAGCAAGATCCAGCTTCGCAAAGAACTTTCCACCATTCAGCATAGTGAACAAATCTGCCGGGACTGGCAGCGGGTAGTGATGCTGTTCTAGGGCTGAGCTGAGACCTGTGGAAAAATCTACACATATTCGGATCGTACCATTAGCCTTCTTGATAACAACAATGGGTGCTGCCCATGCGGAATAAGAGACAGGAGTAATAACTCATTGACGTTGAAGGCGATTAAGTTCTTCCTCAACTTTCGGTAATGCAGCATATGGTACTGGTTTCTTTGGACGAAAAACAGGTTTAAACCCAGGTTTCAATCGAAGTGTTGCTTTCATGGCTGAGCACCGACCCAAAACAGGCTGGAAAACGGTCGAAAACTTCGTCATTAGTTCCTTTGAATATGCTTCCGGATCATGGGTTGCTTTACTAGATGATACAAAGTGTTTAACGGGACGTCCGCTAAATGCAGCTGGTCAAACCAATCTAATTCAAGTAAATTAAGATCAACTGGTGCTATGTAACATACCCCAGTGAACGTTGAATCGCGAAAAGACACTTTACAATGTAGTTGACCCAACAAACGCAAGTAATTACCGCATGCCGTACGAGGTTTTTGTGTTGTTGTCACCATACGTGGTCTGCCCATTTTAATCCAAAATTTTTGTGAGAGAATCGTCACGTCTGATGCTATGTCTATTTGCGATCTAAATGGATGCCCATTAATATTAATGGTAATAAATTTTATCTCAACTGGGGTTCAGTTCTGACAAGTTGCTACAAGACTCAACGAATTTATGCACGGCTTGGGAGCAGACTTTTTAGTACTTCTGGGGCGATTTGGCTTCTTATTTGGGCAAAATCCATCCTTGTGGCCCACAGCTTTACACTTCCTGCAACGATGTTGTTTATACGGGCAGCTTCGAACATAATGCCATGCACCACAGTGCCAGCATGGAGCAGGAGGATTCGTCTTTGCTTGTTGAACTGAGTTAGAGTGAGATGAACTAGGTATAGCTGGGGCGGATTTAACAGGTTTCGTTGGTTGTTGGACTACATGTACTTCAGGGCGATCAGAAACACCACGTTGAACCATAGTAGTGTCATGCTGAAGATTAATTAGACGTTAATATTCGTTAGCAATATCATTAAGAGTCAGCTTAGGGTCATGATCCAATCGACTGAGCAACCGTTTTCTAATGTCACTGAACTTTTGCGATTGGAGGCTGCAGATGAAGATGAGGGCTTTGAACTTATCTTCAGTTAGCGACTTCAACCGAAAGCGTTCGCATTCGCGGTTGACAATGCCCACATGCGTCAGAAAGTCGGTGTCTTCGTTCATAGTCAGCTTCAAACATCGGTAGCGTGTGTTGAACAGCGAGGAATTATCTCCGAACTGTTGGCTCAATGACTGGACAGTGTCCGAGAATGAGCGATCGCGTGGGTTTAGAGGCAAAATCAGGTTACAATATTTATCAAGTTCACTAGGACCCAGCTTTCAAAGCAGCAAACGGACCTTCCAAGCATCATCTTGATTGGCAAAATCAAATCTGAATAAATCTTCATAACGCCGGAACCACATATCAAACGTAACATTAGATTCAGGATCGTAATGAAACTCAGAAATGCTGCTGGCAATACCATCAACTGAAGGTGCAGTAGTGGTAGGATTAGAACTGCTTGGTTGGCTATTGGTCGTAATTTTTGTTTCTGATAGCATCTGGATAAGTTTCATCTGCTGCTAAAGCAATAATTCCACTTTTGAAGGATCCATATTTGCACCAGCCTCGTTGCCAATTGTTATATCTGAAGGGTTACAAATTCACTAGTAGCGAACGGAACAAAGATTTGTGACCAGAGACCGATAAGCTAGCTATTCTGACGCGACCCAGACCCAGCTAACTAGAGTAAGAAGTCCAAGTTGGAAGTGGGGAAGTTATATTCTGTAGCAGCCAGAAGCACAGCAATCAAATAAGGGAAAACGTCAAGCGTATATATACAGCAACAAATTGTCCTTGGGCATCATTAATAAATAGCACACACAAAGAAACAATGGACCAATAGCGTTTAAGATAGTTTACAAGTGGGAAATATGACGTGAAGGTAAAAAGAGAGCGTTTGGCGCGAAAACAGCTAAATTCAAATTTTCAAAATAAAATTACAAAATTAGGCCACTTATCAAGTAAGTTCTGGGGATTTGAACGAAGACTACTTCTACACTTGAACCAAGCCAGTAAGTGAAGGGGATAACTGATGGTTAAAGCTATGCTTCAAGGTTAATTTACGTACGGAAAATTGAGCGTTCTATTAAGCCTCAACACTCTCAAAGTAGAATATTCTCGTATGGGACGCTATGCTGTTAAGGTAATTTAGCAGTAACAAATATATATGGTAATATATTGGAAATATGGCAAATCAAGTCATCAGTTATGTTTATTGATGTTAAACAAAGGGTAGTTCTAGACCCAACAAGTAAATGCTTTGGTAAATTCCAAATCCAAATGAAGGAATTATCTGGAGAACGGTACTACCAGCTTAATAACTATAACCGCTAATATTATTATCATTATTCGTATTAGTGCTAGTAGTATGCAACATGAGAATGGAATTTATGGACGAACGATATGAAAAGGATGAATAGCAACTGGAAAGAACTGGAAAGGAAGACTCAGGACAGAGTTGGATGGAGAATGCTGGTGTGAGACCTATACTCCTCTACGAGGGGTAACAGGCGTAAGTAAGTAAGTAAGTAAGTAAGTATATGGTTATCAGAATTTAGTAAGATAGTATGTAATTTGTCCTTAAATACATTCGATTGTCCCCAGTCGTGTTTTATTTACTACATTATTATATCATTGCATTCATCTACTGGTTCATATTACATAATCGAAATTTCGATGTCACACAGATATTGTACCCCACATTAATTCCATATTCTTGCAATAATAAGATATTTGTAAGAATCAACATTTATCGATAAAAACAAAACAAAACAATCATGAAAATCCAATGGAAACGGTAAAAAAGAAAAACGAATCTAATCTGCACAAATAATTGAGCATTATGAAAATGATTTTTTTTGAGAAAAAACCCAATTTCGAAAAACAATATTTCTTCCATTGGATTTTATTCTACCTATTTGAGAATTGTCAGGATCAATTCATCTAGGTGTAATAATATCATATATTCATGTGCAATTTTGTCATGTTACGAAATATGTTTATTGCTATGAAAAGAAAACATGTAAAGTTAAAAAAAAGTGAGGACACACGGAAGCAGACATTTCCATATACACACACGCAGGATTTATGCTTCGCTCCACAAGAGACATTTATTCTCAGGATTCATTTTTGAACCAGATGAACATCGGTGTATATTGGAAAATTCTTGACTGTGTTTCAGAATTTCATTCACGCTGATAATGGGAAATGTTGAAACAAAACATAATTAGTAAATAATAGTAGGATCGTAATAGACTAATCTTACTTGTCATGAATAAGTATATAGAATAAATATTGGTTTCATTCATTGAAGCAGATGTGATATCGATGATTTTATATTGAATATTCACATTTGCATCAATGCAGTGGTAAGACTACGGCTTTGGTGAGTGGACATATGAGATGTACATTGAAAGAAATGAAAAGTGTATTACAAGGTGAAATACCATATAATGCAGTTGACAAACCATATTGAGTGAAATGTACCCATGTTTTTTTTCCATATGAAATGGCAATCACTGAACTGTAATGACTGCGGGAAATTATTTCGTTTGACATGTGGTATTTATCTTCAATAAAACGGCTAGTCACACTTCTTTGCTATTTGTTCAATGCTAGACGATTAAAATTCGTATGATATTGGATGACTGTCCTGCTTACCTATCATATGAAACACGTGTCATTCATTAATCGTGTTCACTTTATCATACTTCAGAGATATGTATTAGTAAATAATTTTATCGAAAATTGAAAATGTACATTTAAATCAATTACCTGAATTTGTATCTGGAGTTGGAAGACTGTAAGTTTGTGGTAATAACATCTGCGGAGTATCTAGTACACATCATCTTCATTCATTAGGAATAAATAAAAGTAAGTAAGCAAGTATGAACAGTGAACTGATTTATCAAATAGAAATTCAATGAAGTTAATGGATACTTATTGTGAAGTGTTTTAGACTAGAAGAACATACACAGAATATTGGAAAGAAGTTTAGACTATAGTATTTCGAAGGAATAAGGTCAATGACACAAGTAATAGTAAACCAGTATATGGTTGTTATATAATTTACCGTTGAGTTGACGTAACACTCATCCCAATTATTTTGTGCATTTCTAAAGGTGAGGTAGGACGTTTTATGTACTCGATAATCACGACAGTTATCCTGGAATGGAGAGCTCGTATGACACACGTTTCTACAAATGTTATCACTGTGAGATGTAAATTACTCCGAGTAACAAAATGATTTATGAAATAGTTGTTTCGACGCGTTTAATCCACACTCCTTCAAACATTTCACACGTTTGTTGTCAGCCTATCTTTATCTCTAAAATAATTGTAACTGTGATGCTTTCTAAATGATCAACTGGTTATTTCTAATTCATTATTAGTTGATTACAATGATTTAGGTGATAATTCATCGAAATTTGCTGACAGAGTCGATTATTTCAACCTACAATTGACTTCAATGTCAGCTATTAAAGTTGGCTGAAAAATGGTGACATTTCTAACGTTCCCTGTGATTTAATGGCTTATGCTTTTTAATATTGTTTCTGATTACTAATAGTTAAATTCTGATTTAATTTTAGTAGGCACAAACGTACTGTATGTTGTCTCTTGACTATGGAGAAGAGTTTCACAGCAATTTCCCCAATTTTAGCATTTGGATAATGATTTTTGAGGGCTCGATTCATATTATCCTGTTCACAAACTGCTTATAAACGCATTCACTCTAGTTAACACGTTAGATGAATTGACTTCAAACATAGTCTATTAATGTATTTTAGGAGGATAGATAATTAACTGATCTTTCTCATAGGTCTCAAACAATGATCATAAGCAGTAATTGAATTCAGTATGTTTATATTTTAAATTCTAATCACGGACATCTGGATTTACTTCGTGAATTCTCTGCAATGTACCATGGTTACGTTAAAACGCATTACACGACTAAACTATCCACTAAGTATACACCATTTGTTCACTGAATAATATATTTTCGAGTGAGAAATTGTTCGTTGTTAATTAATTTCAATCCTGTAAATGTGGTAAGCAAAGTACTTACAATCATTTCATTTGTAGTTGTTTGATTGACTCTTCGATGTCCTAATATACGTGACGGTTTATTAACACATCTCATTATTGAAACTCTACTCTCAAATCAATAAATATGTAAAACATTCTCAAATGGTTCTATGTGAAACAGATGTCACAAAAAGAGAGTTTGTCAGTGTTCAACTAAAACGTTTCGACTCCTATTGAAATAAAATTTTGTCTTGATGATTGATTTTTATTTAATCTCATAGATTGATGAATAACACTTAAATTATTCTGTAGTCACTTCTGTAGATATCCTAGTAAATATTTATTTCACCTAATCTTTAAATTGCGTGTTTGTAGCCACTGAACAATGAAACTAACATTCTTACATGATATTAATAAGCTTGTAATACATACTCTAAGTAAGAGTGAAATTTATGATATCTAGAAATACATACTTTTGCAAACGATGAGAAAAACAACTTCTTTCCATCCAAATCTCCATCACTCGCGTATGTCTGGAATAAAAGTAAATCAGTTAGCGAAATCGAATAATCCATGTGGATAGGCATTTTCATGCATTCATTGCTTGGGAGCGGAACTTCATCTAGTTCCCTTTGTATGATAATTGATAATTGAGCGATCATGTAATTAATGTGTTAGCAAGCAAGCATTCGTGGCAAAAATTGACATACTTATCTCTATATTAGGATTAAGGACATCTATAAGAATGGAAAACTGAGAAATTCACAATCTACTTATTAGAACAATGTAAGTACACATCTCTGTCTTGAATTACGATTCTGTAGATTAACCAATATATGTCTTCTGAATTTAACCTACTAAATAGGGTGAAGACGTATGAATCAGTCTATGTAATTTTCATCTTTCTAAAATCCAATCACTTGTTTGGTGTTCACTGTATGATAGGGTTTTAATCGTAAGAAAAGTTTCTACCTGCTTCTCGGTATATGAAAACAAACAATACACCAACCAATTACTGACTAAACTACTGTTAAAATTACATCATCTAATTCATTGTTTTGATATGAAATCCATATTTTACCAACTATGTTATTTCATATGGCAACTATTCAGTGAATTGAAAATGTTACTACTTCACCGGTAAAATACAACGCTTACGAAAATACATGTCATGTTTAAGTGACAAGTAATATTGCTGGAAGAAATCAATGAATACAAACTTGTCTACATTCACTTACTTTAAAAGATAACATGAGACCATTAATATCGGCTGACAAAGATCTCAAATCCTAGTATGAACAAGAAGCAAAGTAAACATATAAAGTGACTTTGAAAATTGTCACAGTATATCAAGTAATCTGGTCTTTGATTAAACAGTCTTAAATGATGTTCTATACTGTTTGTTCACCACTTTCACAATTAGTTTTCAGTAAAATAAAAATGAATATAGTTCATACACTTAAATAGCGTTTACCGTAAAACAATTTTCATTATTCTAACAATATTCATTCTTTTAAAAAGATTACTTTAATTAAACAACTCGAATAAGGTATGTTCCCAAATGATATATTTCCAAATCCTCAATAGGGTCTGAATCAAAAAATACATCTTAATCATCCTGCACATCAATCATATTTAGTTTGCAAGCTTTACGAGTTTTCCAACCCTTTAACTGTAATGGAATGGAATTTCTAGAAAGTGATCCACATCTATCAGTGACCATCTGTTTGAAGCAGCGAATGATATGCTATTGCGAAACCGTGTACAACTGATAAACATAATGCATTTTTGAAACTTATTCGCATAAAATGGGCTATGTTTTGTACGAATAACCTGTTATATGCACATCATTATTCGGCATATGCAACTCACCAATCAACTTCAAGATTGATACTCTAAAAACCGTTGGAAATGCAACTTCACCTTGACAAAACTAACTTTTTAAAGGACCGCTTACCGTTTTGTTGTAGTCTTTGAAGCTGTCTTGTTCCTGCAAGCAACATATTTGAGCCTCAGAATCTGTTGCTTCTTCTGACATACAGGAGGACTGGGAATTCCCATGATTATCTTCTTCCTTGTTATTATTCACTGTAAGATAAGTATAATTTGAATTTTATAGTTAAGATCATGAGTCTCGCGAGAGCGGGTTCGTGGATGCGCACTGCTGAGGAGTCCCATAATAGGACGAAACGGCCGTCCAGTGCTTCCAGGTTTTCGATGGTGGCCTAGCCTCAATTGACTCATGATCTTAACTATAAAATTACTAAATCTCCACAAAAACCCCCCTTGTAATATAATTTGAATATTTGAGTCTTGGATGGGGATGTAGATAATAGTTTAAGTAGCTTCTATTTACTTTAAAGTGACAGGTTTAATGATTTTTATTCAGAAGATTTGCATATCTTGAGTCATAGAAATCATGATACTGCTATGGATAAGTGTGATTCATGTCAACATGTGGCAAGTGTGGACAACTTTTAAAATTCTAGCATTATCATGACAAAATTGACTTAAGGAATTTGGTATATCGGGTTCAATCGTGAGAGGTTTACATATCATTTGATAATGAACATGTTAAATATTATCTTTCGCCTTGTTGAGGGACGCTGAATATTCTATGAAAAACGTATTTTATTGTATCAAATTATCTTCATTATATTACAGGTTCCACTTGCTTCATTCACGAAACTCTTTACGCTGTCAATGTGCAAAGTAAACAGAATGGTGACTTTCAATTGAGGTCAAGAAACAATCTTAGTTAGACTACCATTGAAAACATCAGAGCATTGGACGTCTCTTTCGTCCCAGCATGGGACTCTTTAGGAGTGCGCATTCACAATCCTGAACTCGGAATTTTCGAAGCCAACCACTATTGAGCATATGACAATTATCGGCATAGGGTTTCCAATGGTGATCTGACATTGATCGGTTCATGATCTTAATTAAAACCCAATAATTTCCATAACCATATACTGAGAATTATGATTGTTAGATTTCTGTGTAAGCAAGTGCAGTTGAAATAAACACGAGTGGTACCCATCCTGTTAAGTCATTTTATTGCAGATAAGTACTTTGTGAAAGTCACATTGATTTCTGTATTTTAGAAATTATTACACGTTATCTACCTTCAAGATTCACACATTTCAGTTTAGGGAGACTTTGCTACCCAGTGGAAATACCCTTACATATTTCGTCACCTCGCCTCAGCTATTGATTAAGCATGTAAAATAAATTGACACATCTCAGTACTTCAAGAACTATTCTAAATGATAAATTGTGACATCAATCTAATTTAGACAAAAAGAACATTATGTAACACTCACCTTCATACATAAGCTGGCGACCAATAAACCAACCGATAGTCCCATATTTTTCAGACATTGAATATCCTTCTTTGAGGTATGGTGGGTTTAATAGACCGGCAGATATCTTAATAAGTTTATTTTCAGCCGAACCAGATATGTACGGCATAAAACTGAAAGCGTCAGGTCTATATAAATGTGAACAAACAAGTGGGACTCTCTTAGATAGTAAAAGTTACAACTATTCTTAACTCGAATAATAAATGAAAGTAAAATTTTAGTTTAGCTAAATTAGCGTATGGTAATTCAACGATGATCTTTCACAAATCGCAATACACAGTATATACATTTTCCACAGAAAAGGGATAAAATAACGCTTGCATGTAGTGAAGAGTAGTGCCGTACAACTTTAAAATTAACGCTGGAATTGCTATCAGAAATACCTGATACAGCTAAGCCAATCGACATTGACTGATCAAAAGACTTAGTTATCACTGATTGGTTTCTAAATGGCAATCGATATAATACTATTCCATGTTATTTACTGTTCAGAGTTAATTGTTCAAGTCGTATTAAGATCATCGGGTTAATTGAGTTGACATCGAAGTGCATGTTAGTCGGACTTGAAACAATTGTAGGAAATTAGTTACATAATGTTTTTATGGTGATTCGAACACAAGTATTCGTCGACCAGACACTATCAGCAACAAGTTACTGTGGGGGACAACAAGCCATATTCCAGAGGAGGAAGAAATCAGAAAGAAGCTCTGAAAGTGGATAGGACACAGATTGAGGAAATCGCACAATTGAGTCACAAGACAAGCCCTCACATGGAATCCTGAAGGCCAAAGGAGAAGAGGAAGACCAAAGAACACATTACGTCAAGAAATGGAGACAAATATGAGAGGAATGAACAAAAACTGGATAGAACTAGAAAGGAAGGCTCAGAAAAGAGTGGGTTGGAGAAAGCTGGTCGTCGGCCTATGCTCCATTGGGAGTAACAGGCGTAAGTAAGTAATTAAGTAATGCAGTTGGTAAGAAAACGTGAAATAGAGTAATCAATTCATATTATTCTGAAAATCTTTTCGCTCTTGCTCTGTTTCAACTTATCAAGGAGTCTCGTTATATGGAACTCAATTATGTGATGTATTTTACTGCTGATAGTTAAAGTTTCCTTCAGGATTATTTTAGTTCTATGAAGATATTTTAGATTTAGTATATTTTCCTACTCTAAATTTGTGAAATGAACACTTCAAAAATATATATTACTCAGCGTTGGTATCCAGTGATTTGTAAATTGATTTAAGGAATTTGGTCTTCTGAGAATAGTACACGTTCATGAAGTAATCATCCTCGGATATTTCATTCTGAAACAGGAAAGGGATATTTTCGTGAATTCTCAGAATATTCATCAATTAAACGAATATAGGAATTTTCTAGATATGTCGCCATTAAAATATTTTATTTTAAATATTCGTCAATATGTTCCATGTAACTGATTTATTCATTTTTACTTATAACAGTTGTTCAGGTCTCCACAGATACATAAATGTATTTCCACTAGATCAGTACTTTTTGGAGAACCAGGTTGTCACTACTACACTGTCATGAGATTGAATGTTATTTCACGAAAACGCCTCATTTCTTTTCAATGATACATTCAGAATCAAGTGTATTTAACAGAATAGATTAAAAAGATAGTAAATCAATGAGACAAGCGGAATGGTACAAACCATAAATAAAATCAGGTATACAAATATTAACTTATAGAAAGATCGAAGACTATTGTGAACTATATGAAGTATTGTGAATTTCACATTTAAGATTCTACAGTTGAACAACATTCTTTAATGAGGGTTTTTATAATTAGTTAAGACTGGATAGTTCTACCGCAAATTGGTCCCACAGTTTTTATCAAAAAATAACTTTCAAATGATATTTGATGAGCATGATATTGTTTTCTTTACATCATTTTCCAATTTTGACTGCATGTATGTCATAATGAATGTTCAGTAGTATAACCAAAAAAGGCAAATGTACATTTCTATTTCCAAACGAATAACTTTAACCATTTTGATTTTATTTGTCAGATAGAGAACAATTTATTTTGTCATTAAGTTTGAACTCCCTCATTCAGCAAGAGTGACATTGTCAAGGCTAATTTACTGGATTTCTGCATACTGCATATATTAGATCTGTAACTTGACCAATTCGTATGTTGAACTATACTAAGCTAGTGATGATCGGTAGTTCGTTCAGGTGATGAGGTTAAAATGTCTCAATTATAAATGAAGACGATAAATGTCAGGGTCGAGATCTAGATGGTGTAGTTGGCAAGCGGTCACTGAAACATAACTACGAAGGAATGTTTACTTACAACGTCCTGTTGATAAGTCAAAGGACGAACATGTTGACTAAGACCCAGTTGAAGAGAAAGGCTGTTTCCCACAACAGTATTTCAAACGGGATTAGATTAATGAGTTATCAAATCACGCAATCAGTACTTCATTGAAGAATTCTTATCCAGCAGTAGTTCTCACCACTATACTCGAATTGAAGTGCTCAAAAAAGCAGATAATCTCTCCTTATGTTTTACGTCAAATTGGATTCATTATTTCACTTGTATACGATGAAGTACATAGATCGAATTAACAGACTGAGGTGTATAAGTGATCGCCCATTCGGCATATTCTTAAGAACCCGTAGCTGGTAAACACTCAAACCCTAAATGGTGGAATCTGTGTCTATTTAACCAATAGCCAGAGTGTTATGTATTATTACTGCCCTCTCCACTTTATGTTTCCTACATGCATCAGCCTCAACATATTTATGTATACATAGAAGTGATAATCCGTTTTATTTTAACTGCTCGGTTTTATAGTTGAACAGCACGCTATACTGCATGGTAAATGTGATTGTAATCAGTTGACGAGAAATCCCGAAGTGGAAACGAGTGGATATTATTCTGTCTCATTCGCTGTTTTTACGTTAGTCATGAATAATTGACTTCAGGACAAGTCATATGGTAAACAGAGTAGTAGTACAATGGAAATCTCTTTCAACACGTCTAGTGATTCTTTTTATTTAACGAATTCAGTTTTTCCATAAATCCAGAATAATCATCAATAAACAATAAAGTTTTTATGAAACTCACAGTGAATATAAAATCTCTGCTCTCTCTATCTTCTGCGGACAAACTTTTCGAAGTAATTATGGACAACTGAAATGAATTAGCCTGAAAAAACCAGTGGATTAACGTTCGATTCATCAGTTAAAATATGACAAACCAAGTTGATATAATTCTTCTTTTCATCTTCTTTCAACCATGACATTGATGACAATGAATCACTCAAGGTTGTTTTCAGTTCTTCGAACATTTGAAGAACCTATCCAACGTAGAAAGTTTTAATACTCAATATCGAAGTAATTACACAAATGTTGTAAAATATGAATGCTTGTCTGAATGTCACAAAATAAATCAGTATTTTAGAGAATTGAAGAAGAAAGGAATTGATGTGGCGCATTTAACACAATCGTTGTCTATTCTAATGCCTATTGCATGCGAAAGAAACAGTTCTTCAAGAGGAATCATTCTGATATGCATGTGATCAAACAGACAACCGTCGTCTATGAAACAAGTAAAACCATTCATCAATGAATAACAGTCCATCTGAATGAGCATAAAACTGTTTACAATAATTTGCTTAGACCGTGTTGTAGTAACATAACTATATCAATCTATGATTAGAAACAATGAAATTGCATATCTAAACACGAATATTTCTAAGCAATCTAATATCGTGCTTTCTCAAAAAAGGTGAACAGAACAATGCATAGACGGTATTTTAATGAAATTAAAGACTCACCTCGGCTTCTGTACTTTCGCTTATACTAGAATATTTATGATACTTTTCTATTGTCCATCGGAAATTTTCTTTTACTTCATCAATGCAACTTGTTGGCTTTTTCGCTAACATTTTCATCGAAATGAATCAATATATGAAGTGATATAACGAGACAAATGAATGAAATGTCGTTTATTTTTAATTCATATTAAGTGTCACATGACTTATAACAGAATTGTACTCATCTACCCATTCTCACTAAAACAAATTATCCTTTAAAATCAGCCAGATACATACACACTAGTAAAACTTAATTTGATTGTTGAAATCACATATCGAAAGTAATTTGGTGTGAAATATGAGTGAGAAATTCACTGAATAACAAGAGTTAATTGTTAGATCATTTTCATGATGACTATAACGTCAATAAGTGACATTTGGTTTTTGATATTTAAGCCTACTCATTATCAACTATTACGTGACTTCAATGTATTCTAATATTGGTAATAGTTAATGTGTTGTATATATCGGCATTTGTGTAAATTATATTTCGAATTCACTTAGTATTGTTTGTTTGAATCTTCCCATTGATGTTTTAGGACTGCAACTGGTCAGTCTCTTATTGGCATATGTGCATACTGTGAATATCGCCTCGATATAGCCTAAATTCACAAGCGTGGTAAGCAAAGATGGATAACCCGATGGAGTTTGAAGCGAAAGATACTGGGTTCAAGTCCCAGAGTGAACATCAACTCTAAGATGTAAGTACATTCAACTGATGAGTCCCAAATAGTACGGGACACGCGTCCTGGATTCCACTGCTAGCCACTATCCATCTTCGCTTACCAAATTATATTTCGGTTTGCTTATTTAGTCTACATTAACTTCTAGAATTGAAATGAAAACTTTTGAATTAAATATAGATAAAAATGGAAAATTAATTCCATTAATGTAACTGACAATGTTACTTACGAATGGTAGAAGGATAAAACTCAGAGTAATATCGATTCAAAATATTTTTCATGTTGAACAAGAAACTGATCGTCGTCATAGCGTGTAGATTTCTTTCAAAAAAATTTTAAAAGATTAATGATTTTTTTATTGATAAACAATGAGAGGGAAGTGGTAGTTATATGACCTGACGATAACGAGGAAACATTTTGTACAGACCTAACATTAGTCGAAGGAGGAAAAATCTCATCATGGAATAGAATTCACAGGTTAACCGCTGTTGATATTCCTTTCTTTCCACGGTTATGCATGTAATTACTTCAATGTTAAATCAATTAATGTAATAGTCGTTTGAATATTTTGTTTGCTGATATTCTGACTTTTGTTCATCTATGTTCCATAATTGGTTCAATGAATAGTTTTATGAACTCACAAATACATAGTAAAATCCACATTTAATGTTCGTCGTAAAAGATGAGCTTATTACTTATGATGGTTTGTGTGTTCACATAAGTGAGACAACCGATACAAGTGATTTCAGCCTGTAAATCGAGGAATTATTAGATAACCCGTCATAATTATTTTTCTATCTATCTTCATGATGAATACTCAGACTCTTCAACACAAAACTATTATTAGTTTCCTTTATAAAAATAACATTTTACTGCCTTTGTTTATTCTACCTCACTATTGTCATGTTTCACAGAATTTTATTATCAGTATTATTGTATTATTGTCATTTTGAAAAATAAGTATATATTTACGATTGTACAACCTTGAAAATGAATTTGCCGAGAAAAGAACTCTTTGCTGAACTAATCTTTCTTACATTCACTTAGTATTGCTTGTTTGAATCTTCCCATTGATATTTTAGGACTGCAACTGGTCAGTCTCTTATTGTAATATGTGCATACTGTGCGTATTGCCTCGATATTGCCTTAATTCACAAGCACCCAGTAGCTGAGAGGATAACGCAATGGCGCTTGAAGCGAAAGATACTGGGTTCAAGTCCCAGAGTGAACATCAACTCTGAGATGTGGGTACACTTGGCTGACGAGTCCCAAATAGGATTCCACTGCTAGCCACTATCCATCTTTGCTTATAATCTTTCTTATTTTTATATCGTCGATGAGACATCAATTCGAACTCACAGTCGAAATGTGAACTAAATTCGACTTTCAAACTAAAGTTCACAATATTCTGGAATCAGGTTTCCTTATTCTACACAAGTCTGATTGTTTGCCAAGTCAAGAGTACTGTTGAATAAGCAAACGTCGTATTTCTATAATGATAATTTTCAACAAAGAAACAGTATGAAACAAATCTCTTTGCAGTTTGCCGTACATAAATGTTCGGTGGATTTTGTTAGAATAAACATACACATAGTAATTCAACAACTTATGTAATGCCAACTTCTTGGATTGAATTACTTTGAATACCATATCAATAAATGAGAAAACAGTGTGAACATAAAAGTTATGAACAGGGATTTTGTCAGAATAAATCGTTTCTAAAAGCGTAACACTCAATAGTGAGAGGAAATTACTTTCTTCCGTTATTTGTTTCCATAGCCGATGCGTGTATATCACAAACCCTCTTCAAGGAATCTTGATCATGAACAACAATTTCCATATTCTTGTATGACTCATACTTGAGTTCACGGAATATACTTTCAAATAAAACATTCCAATCGATCTGATCAAAATAAATAACAAGTTGATATATATTTACGAATACAGTGAATGGGCCATGTCACAAATCGATTTTCTGCACGTGATCGGATTCTGTGAATTCGCTTGATCTGAATTTCTATTCTGAGGTATTTAGTCAACACACATTGCCTTCTACAGTTCGGCAGACAGACATTCAGATTTCAACCTTTTCCATAATGACATACTTATGTTTTACTCATCTACTTTAAGCATGAATACGCAGTCAGCTTCATTTAGGTTGCTATGATTTCACAAACGGGACACTTCTGAGTGCAACATCATCATAGACGACTGTTCAGGCTTAGTGGGTCACAATTTGATGAGGGTGGCAAATGAACTTCAGTCTTATTTTATATTACTTGGTGAAGTTAATCCCATATAAATATTGTGGTTTACTCAGATACGTGAAATACCAAAAACACTTTGTTTCAAGCGCTTGTGATAGATGATAAGTATTTTATTACTTCTTCTCTAAAGGTTAAGATGTAAGCACACTCAACATTATCACAACAAAACTGTAACTGAATCGAAAAAAACGTTGTGGGATTCGGTTAACGTTATGTGTGTTACAAGATACATGAATGAATGTGTAGCATCAAAGTATCTGTAGTGTTATACATGTGATAGTGATCAATAAAATTACAACATTGGTAATGTAGAAGTAATGCTGAAAAATGACAGATTATACTAAAGACTGTTATTCTGATTTGAGTTGACAAAATGTTGTATCCCGAAGAGAATTGTGAAAGGTAACTTTTGAGGAATATTTGTAGACCAGTGTAATATGTATATTACCTATTATATAATTGTTAAGTAACTAACCTAATCATATTCGTGTTCCTCTTATCATTAGCTTTATTTTGACCTTTGAACTATTATTATACGATTCTTGAGTTATCATCAGTTTATTGATTACTTTCCCCCCTATTCAGAGCCACAATTGACTAAATATTATACAAATGCTATTTTCTATTTTATGGCACGATGTGGTCTGTTTGGTTGGTATATAAACCCAGTATGTTTGTGAATAATGATTCATATTGCCGAGGCTGTTATTGGTGTTCTGGACTTAACTGGCTGGGCTGAGCAGAAGCAGGATCGATAAGCGCTCTAGACTGCTTGTACGGTTTTCGTGTGTCACTGTTCCAATCGATAATTCGCTGCTCCCTGATTAGCGGTCTCATCAAGTCACACATTAACTAGGCATCCACTCGGACGCAATGTATAACACAAAAACAGTAGTTTGATGAACGAATGAGTAAATTTCCTTCTTAGTTGTGTAATGAGAGAAGTTATTAAGGTTAACAATCAACTAGCAGGTAAATTACTGGCTAATCCAAAGTAAATGTTCACATTAGTGGATATACCATTCATTCAGCTTTGGGAATCAGAAATGTGCTTCACATGTAAATAATATTTTAAAAGCAGTTTGATCAACTCACTAAGGGACAGATTTCTGATAACTTTTCAATTGTAACTTTTGAAACAGAACCAGATGGTTGTATTGCCTGAAATAAATAGAATGGCAAAGTCTAATCACAACCAATTATCTGATCTAGTCTATTGAAGGAGCTTTGTTGGGGATTTTAGAACTAGATCGACGCAATCGTTCAGTTCCATTAAGTTTAAACTGGTTTTCGAACCAACATGCACCAGCCGCCCTCTTATCTTGTTTGATGCGACCGACAACGTTATCAACCTTTTGTTGAGCCATTTTACTTGTTTTTTTTTTATTTTTGCTATTATATCTCACCTTGAGTATCATTTCGAAAGAAACGAAATAGGAAATAATTATTTTTACATCATGTGGCTTATGTGTTTAGAATCAGTTAGAAACTCCATGATATATATATTACCGATTAATCGAGTGTTCCCGACTTTTCCCTTCCTTTTAAAATAAAATCTGTGTATCGTCAATGTTATCAAATCCTTATCCATCAGAATTTGTTTCAACCTAACCAAGGTATTCGGTAATATTCAGTAGAGCTTTTGAATTTTCAAATTATGTAAGTGAACTGTATTATGCTGTAATTATTGATAGTGAAATTTTGAAGTCGTATGTAGTATGGATTTTCTTGTGTGTAATTTCGCAAATTAAAGCATATATGGACTTCGGTGGGGGAAGACGATAAGTAGTTGTATCAATAATATTAGTTATCAAGACTTCTTACTCATGTTCTCATGACTGAAATACTAATGTATTAATCACTGAAGACTACGTCAGTTTTCTACACAACAATGGAATGTATAAAAACATGCATAACAACATAATTTGGATAGTTGTCAAGTAATCATGGTCACTTTACTCACACTTTTGATTTGGGAATGCAACTGTAAAACGTCTTTTATTATGTTTTTCTTATCCTTTAAAGGTCCAAGTTTCTTCAGATATGCGAAAAGTTGTTCAGCTGCATTTATTTTCTTTCCATCGGACTGTTAATTGCGAATGAAGTAAATCGCACAAATTTTCATCTTCATAAAATGTTATTTATTGATAGAATATGTTACTATCATATGAATGAATAGGATAATTACAAACAGTGATACTGATTGCCCATAACATTAGTTTCAGTTTATCATCTTGGTAAAGTCAAAGTTTAAAGTGCTTATACATTTTAAAGATTTTACATCATTTGGTTTGAGATATCAGGAAACAGACAAGTAATTATTGAAATTTGTACATGGATAAGGTATTTCTCAGTTCCATTATGCATGACAATTCTGCTTGATATAAGTCAAACTAAAACACTGGGCCACATCTCAGTGTAAAACACAATTTATACATCAATTATTTGTTCAGGGTATCACAAACGCGATTCTAAAATCCACCAACTCTTCACATAGTGTTTTACATGTTCTGTGTTACAAGTTACAATAGGTCAAGGATAGCCGTCTGATGAAACCTTGTTAATTATTGAAATAAAAATAAGTCATGATAGTTTAATCTTACCATGCTAGGAGCAACAGCATCAAAGGCCTCCAGAGAACCTAAAGAAATCTGAAGTTAAAAACAAAGCACCTGTAATTTTCATCGGAAACCAAATGAAATGTTACACGACAACGACTGTTTTTAAAAAAACAATCAATTTTAATAGATGATATCCATTAGAGATTTCTTTTGTTGTTTGTCAAGTAGAAAGAAGCTACTCTGCTGAGTTATATAGCCCTATTTGTAAAACAAATGATGCTTCATTTACACAAAGGACTATCCAGTATTTGTTTATCAACACATAGAATTCTTGCTCTGAATGCACAGATTCATCAAATTGTAGTTGTAGAAAACATACAAGATAGCCCAACAACTCAAATCGTATGAAATGTCGGTTACTAGAATGAACTGAGATCGGATTTGTCATTGAAAACTCAAATGTTGTCGAGAAATATTTGACAGAAATATTCACAATTTTAACTTATTCAGTACGAACAACAAAGTACTTTCTAAATAGTGTGAGATTTTTGCATGATACTGTGGTAACTCATACAAACATAAAATAAGGCATTTCATTAAAGAAACGTGAACAGATGTCTTTCCGTATCGATTTACAATCTATCCAGGGTATTTCACCAAAACTCACTTTGATGAACCATAAAGTTATGTTGTTTACCACTCCAAATTTTCATCAGATTTATCGACCTAATGCTCTTTGAACCAGATCAAGGTGATGTAATTTCTCAGTTACATGCTGGATAAATATGATATCATTCATCATAGAAGAAAACACTAGTTGTCGTCGATCAGCCGTCATTACCAAATTTTACTGAATTGTTTGCAATGAAAATATTTTCACTACAGCATAAATAGTATATATATACAGCCTTTTACTGTCGTTTGTATCTCATGATAAGTGCAATCGTGTTTTCAAACACGTTCAGAGGAAAAGCAAAGTTCTTCATCACAACAAAGTAATAAAACTTAGTTTATTTGATTCATTTAAATGTGACTGAATAACATTCCAGTGCATATAAGTAGAACACGCTAACACATTTTAAATAACTGATTGACTGAACGACTAAATGTCATTATGATGAAACAGAGATTCATGGAAATTTATCAAACGTTTTCATCAATAAACAGAAAGATGTTCAGTTATTTTACTTGTTTCCAATAACCCTTCAAATAATATGATTTCAATTTGAAAATGGTATTGGAAATAAATACTTAGAACTTGATATTATAGTTAAGTGCCCAATTCATGTTATACTCAATAACTTACATCAATGCTTGGATTGCTATCATTTACTAGCTTCAGTGAAAATAAAGTTGTACTTCCACTTTGAAGCAACAAAGGTAAAAACAAACTTGTAAGATTGAATGTTTCATCTTTAAGTAGATTTCGTTTGACAGTGAAAGGGATTTTGTCGTATGCTTTTGTCAAGTACCAGCCTTTGAATAGAGTTATTATCAATTTAATAACTTCGTTTTCAATCACTGAAATTTCTGCATTGGGACTCTCTGTACAAGATTTGTAGTAGTTTACAGCACTCATAAAGCGTGAATCATCTGGATTGTTTGTGTTATTCACTTAATACAAAAAAACAATGAACAAGTGGCGTAGTTAACATTAAGAAATGGTCATTTAGTTATCGCAAATTTACAGGGAAACAAGACTGAATTATAAACACACATTAATCTTCATTGTTAATGTTTCTACTTGTCCAATTCGATGATTTCTGATTTGAATAATCATCTGATTGTGTTTGAGGTACCAGTAATCGACATAAATCATCATAAGCGGTACTTACGAGAGTTCGCATGAAGGTTTAGTGTAAAATAGAGAGTTAGTCGATGTCTTCATAGTGAATTATCTGTAGCGTTGTACTGTACCATTCAAAGTTCGATATTCGACATGGTCTTCACACGGTAAGAAAGAAAATTTGCACTGAGTAACATATTTTTACTCTAAAAATAATGGTCATATTGAGAGGGCTTACAAATCCAAAAAAATTTCTTCATGGATACATTCTTTATTGCCCAAGTGTTTTCTTTTCTGGCTTGCATAATTGTTTACTAAGAAGCTTGATTATGCCACTTGAGTAAAACCGAAATGAATTTAACGGAATTTCGAATTCCAGTAGAGCAATACGTGTCACTCATGAGTATTTATAGATATCACTTAAGAAGCCAATAATGTACATATGATGGGAGATGATCGATTAGGAGAGTTGTTTTTATGATCGCCTCAGATTTTCACCCAACCTACCATATGAAGCTGGTATACTTTTGTCTTATTCAGTGTGTCGTCGGTTCACTAGACAAGTGAACGAACAACAACAATCTATTTGACACATTTCAGCCTCTGCACTGTCTTCTGTATATGATCCTTATTGAAGCAATACAACACAGGTGTTTACTAGCAATTTTCAGTAAGAAATAGCCTGATTTTTATCTTTGTTTCACATCTTAGTTATTTTCCAACATACTGATAATACCAAAAAGGGGAAGCCAACAGCACTTCTTAGGCTAAAACACGAATTCATCATAACTCGAGGTAGATTTTTAGTGCAACTATGAATGACAGTTTAATGTTGTGTCAAAGCTGAAACAGAATATTAAACATGTAATCTATAAAATGTGAATGATCGGAATTGACCGGAAAGGAAATAATGGTGGTTAACGGCGGAATCTAGGGTGCGCGTTTCGCCCTACATGGGTCTGGTCGGCGAGATGTAATTGCATCCTAGAGTTGATATTCACCCCGGTATTCGAACGCAGTAATGCTGGAATGACTTGCCGTCGCGTTATACACTCAACTACTGAGTCCATATAACCATAAACTTGTGCAATGAGGTGAAGCTTTGGACCATTTTCGTAGTGGTTGATTGAATCTTCCCATTGATATTGAAGACTGAGATTGATCAGTGTTTCATTGGCCTATGTGTATTTTGATATTTATTAAGCTCGAGTCCCGGACTGAACATAAACTATGGGATCAAGCCGACCAGCCACTGATGGGACAAAAGGCACGTCCTGTATTCCACTGTTGACCACCATCATCTCTGCTGATAATGCATGCGACTGAATGCAATATTGAGGTATTCCACACAGGATGCATACATACTAATAAGAGATTGATCAACTGGATTCTTAAATATAAATGATGAGATTCAAACGATCAATACGAAAATGAATTAGATGTTATTTATTATTTACGCTACAGTTGGAAAATGATTTCATGAATGATGTGGCTTTATACTAATCTGCAACGAACTAGGTCTCATAAAAGATCTTAAATTAAATCAAGTTATGGATCCGGCCCAGAAATGTCATTTTTAGTCATTCATGTCTATTTCATTTAGTGGGGATGATTCGATTTTCAGAGAAGTGTTTGTGGGTTTAAGATATCTGACGGAAGCGGAACTCCTAAGACAGATGAGAGTTTGTGAGAATGAGACTTTGTGATATTTGATAATACGAGAAAGTCATCGAAATCCAAATGATTTTTATTTAAAATACGTCTGCAAAAGGAGCGGTTACACAGAGAGACCAACAACTTCTCAAGCGACACGAGGGTCTTTTTGGAATTAAATTCTTTATCCATAGGTAAAGGTAGCCTTATGGTAATGAATCCTATATATTTGTTCAGCTGGTGGAAGTCTTTCGTGCAGTTTCCAGATGGTTAGTTCGTCATGACCACGAGATTCTGCGCATCACATATAAGAAGGATACTAGCTTTCGTCGTTTGACATCCAAACAGAATAATATGATTCGTCTTTTAAAGATGTTCGGAACTGCAGCTTTTGTTGTTATCAATTTTGAGTATGCAAATTACGAGAAGGAAATAACAACCCAAGATATTTTCGACATGCAATGACGCTTATTTGAACGATCGAAACTTCCAGGTTAGTACAGCCTTGATTTAAGTCACTATTAAGCAGGTGATTTTAAAACATTAGCTACACACATCATTCAGATTGAAAGTTCAAGTGTAGTGCATTGTCAAGTAGACGGATGTCTGGAATGCTTCACCTTTTCAAAGATAGATCAGAAAATTGTAGATCGTCGACTGCCACAGGTATTGATGGTGCATACAAGAGCAACAAAGAGGAAATATCTCTTCACAAATGAATGTCATTAAATGTCTCCATGAAGGCAATGGAAGCAACATTTGGGTTTTCGACCACAGAACTTTCCGAGCTGATTATCAAGTTTTTTGGTATGGTTCCGTTGCTGCACCCATTGATCCAGATCCAGCTCCTGAATTCTATTCATAATTTTAAATTTTATATAGCTGACCGACCGTATAACAATTCTAGCAAGACCACCTATTTCCGTAGAACAAGAAACGGGAGACGTCAATAGAAGTTTTGAATGGCATTACATCCGCTGATGACAGTGAAGGTGATGCTGAAGCAAACGTAGATATGCAAGTGGTTAATGAAATCTCTGAGCTTCGTGAAGAACCTGACAATGACAATTTTGATATTCGTCCTGGATGTTATTTTTTCCAACCTCCAATCGTCAAATACTGTCGTGGTGAATGACTCAGATCGTAGAAATGTGTCGCATTCAGCCAAGTTATCAGTTCTGCGTATGAAATGTTACGGTTGTTATGTGTAGTCATGTATTCTGTAAGTGGATACCAGACTTGGTAATACTATTCATCATCGATATCAACGACGATTCAACAAGAACGCAACATAGTCTTTTTATGGCCGCCTCAACAAACCGACTTAATTTTGTTTACTCAATGTATAAGCATTAGTCTGGTCACTCGACAGAAATAGTTATTCAGTAACTTTTCTATTAAGTGCATATCATATATTGCATGGGAAAGATCGAGTATAACTGCCTAAGCATAAAAATAAATTTCTTCACTAACGACTTATAAATGATGTATCGTCATATTTGTGATCATTAAGTTCCCTAGACAGATTGACCTATTTAGGATCAAACGGTTGGTTTATATCAGACAGTAGATATGAGTTATTCTACGTCTAGGACAATTGGTAATGTATCAGTTTTCATTTATCTGTCAATGACATTTTATTTTACCAGTGAATTCAAACTAGTGACATTAGCGTAATATATGCAAACAATTCTACGCACATATCACATGAGTCTTTACATGATTCATTCGGCGTAGTAACGAAATTCAAATTGCATATTGAATTTGTGATGAACTTCGTAACTCTTGACTGATGAATATTATACTACAGTATCAAATGCACAGGGTAAAATTTTATTTAATTTTATTTTGTTTATTTTTATTTAATTTATTTTATTTAATTACGACTGTACAATTTAAGAAAACGACATTGTCTGAAAAAATATTTTCTTCTTCGAAACACTGACAACTTTATTCTGATTCGATTGAATCCATTAACAGATCACTGTTAGACAACCAATGAAAATCCGAAAGCACTAATTGGCCGTTTTGACCTAGAATGGGACTTTTGATCAGTGCACATCCACGATCCTGCACGTCGGATTCGGACCCACGACCTACGGTCTCAGGCGAATTATCTAGTTGTTCGTAGCTTGAATTCTGTAGGTAAAGGAGATGTCATGAATAGATATTTTGAAAGGGTAGCACGTTAGCCTGTTGTTGACTAGGTTATTTTGTTGTCAGGCAAACAAATAAACATAATCACGATAAACTTATGTTTATTAAGAGTGATATTTCCAGTTTCCGCAGATTCGTTCGTATGTACAGTGTATCCTCATTGAGATCTAATACTAGATCATTTTGGCATTCTACATTTTTCATCTGTGCAATAGTTGAAAATCGGGCATTTATAAATATCTTCTATTATTATCTGGTGACTCAGTTGACATTTAAGTCATATTTGAATTTATTCTTAGTGAGGTGAGCTAACAATAACTACACGTAACTGAAAAAAACTTAGTCCGGTGTCTGCATGACCGAGATAATAAATGTTATCATACTTATAATTTTAGTATTTAATTCACTCTATCATCTCCTGTGCTCTTCTTTAAGTCTGGTAATGATTAGCAGTATTTCATTCACTGTTTATAATACTCATGAACAAGCCTGTAAATCTCTAAAATGTTTTTGTCATTAATTAATAAAACTAAACCAAGTTACAGTATTTAATGTTTAAATATTTTAACCGTATGAAAATTTATCCTTTGGTATCAGTTACAAATGGTTATAAAAATCAACTTGTCTTAAGCCATGTACATAGTCGGTAATTATCATTTTCATTAATAAACAGCCAGCGCACTACTTAGACGTTAAATACCATGAGTTATCTTAACTCTCTACTAATTAAAGCTGATTACTTCAAGAAATATTTTTTACAAGTAGATGAGCAGACTGGAACAACCATTTACAAACCTACGATTAGAGCCATCCAATGAAATTGAGGCATTATCTACGGAATTTAGCCAACAAAATTGCAGTAGAACATGTGGATTGAATTGAATCAGTGAATGCATGACTGGTCTTGATTACAAAATAAGAAGGCCACGACTAGTGGAGTCTTATCCGTGTAGGGTGTCGGACAGATATCCACCTCAAACAATGGATGAAGCGGTAGCGCAAGATCACGGATTGATTGGAGTTAGACATTGAAACTGTTGAATGCCAAGTGAATGGTCTACATGATAGGTGTTTGCACACGAGACCGAAAGTGTTGAGTTCGAATCCCTGTGTTGTGAAATCGTGAATGTGCTATTCTCAGGAGTCAAGGACTAGGATGGAACGACCATCCAGTGTCTTTAGGAATTTATTAGTGTTCTTGATATGTCTTGTAGGTTGAACGCTTTATTCAGATCCTAAGCTATTCGGATA